TTTTTGCTGATCTCCTCGTTACTGCCTTGTTTTATTTTGCTTTTGGCTAATTTTTGCCTTGGTTTACTCCTTTCCTTTTTTGTCTTTTATGCAGCTTGTCAGGTCTGTTAGAGATTTATCCAATGCCTTGCTGTCAGTGGAGAAACATTATCAGAATTAGGGCCTTATTCTTTCTCAAAAGAATTTGGAGGTCCAGCAGGCTCAGGCTGAGAGGAATGCTATGGCCAATGAAGTGACTCCTCTGAGGGAGAGGGCAGACGCTCTGCAGCTCCATTTGGGAGAATTTCAGCTCACTTAGACCAAGTTGAAGAGTTGCGAGGAGCAGTTGGGGACCTCTCAGGCCAGGGTGCAGATGCTGGAGGCAGAGATTGCAGATCTGCGAGCTCTTCACATAACCGAACTGGAAGCTGCCAGGAAAGAGGCACTTAAATCTTTTGCGCTCTCCCCTGTTTTTTCTAAGCTATTGGGTGATCGCCATGATGGTGGATGGGAGGCTGCGGCTCAGTGCGTTAGCAACTTGTATGGTGGAGGAGCATCAGGATCGTTTCAACGCTTTTTGGGCTAATGTTAAGGCTGAAGGCTAGGCTGGTTTGTTTGATCTCCCTGCTGATCACCCCCATGTTGCCGGCTACAAGATTCCCAACCAAGCTCTGCTGAACTTGGAAGTTCCTCTCTGCCCTGACGTTGCTGCGGCTATTGGAGTGGAGTCCTTGGTTGATAATCAATAAAGGTTATGGCGGCTGTCACCTTCTTACTCTAGTAGTTCCTCTGAGTTTCCCTCACCCAGATCTATTGTAACTAGGTAGTTTTTTATACTATCTTTGGGGTGTATAGCCGCCAAAGATTATGTTTCCTTGTGTCTTCTCAGAATACTTTGTCTTTCGTTGTTGGGTTTGCCCAGCTTAACTTGAATTTTTGTTTTCTTGACCTTATTTGTTGTGTGTTTCCTTGTCTTGGTGGACAAGGGCTCAGCTTTGTCTATATTGTAACTGACCTGCTGAATGTTTACTCTGCCGTGGTGGGCAGTGGTTTAGCTTTATATTGTATACGCTTTGTGATCTTCTTCTGCTGTTTTGCTTGCTATTTATTTCGTTATCTGCACATTTGCCTAGAACCAAGTCTCCATAGCAGTATCTAGATCTTTTAGCATAGCAGTTTGTTTATGCTGTGACTTGTTGTTTTGTGCCACTTACTTCTCTTCGTAAGGGCTTATTGTATGTCTATCTCCCCCTTTCCTCTCCCTCTCAAAGAGGTGAGCTAGGCGGGACTAAGAGAACCTTAGTGTTGCCCACGTAGCTCATCTTCTTCGTTTTCCTTTATTCTCCTGCTCAAGTTGAACGTGCTAGGCCTCCCCCTCAGGCGTCCCCGAGGTGGTGCCCTATTTTACTTTGAGCAGGTGAGATGAGGTTCTAGGGAGGGATATGTTAATTTGCCACTTTGCGCTGGGGTGCTTTTTGCCTCTAACACTTGCACGTGTTATGTATTTTTTTTTTTACTTCTGCACATTAGTATATGATCTAAAGCATGATATATTAAAACAAGTGTACGCAACATACTCCTCACGTAGAGGCTCGTATTTCATTGAATAAAAATGGCTCAAATGCCTTAATTGATATAACATGAACTAGATATAGTTTTTGCAGAATTGAAAGAACTATCCTTGTTTCTTCTTAATTTCATGTTTCTTAAACAAAATATTTCTTTAACACATCAGCATTAACACTGTTTCTTAAGACCTGACCTTCTTGATCTGCGAGCAGGAATGCACCTGGTCCTACCTGGTCGTGAATGATGAAAGGGCCTTCCTAGTTTGTTGACAATTTTCCATGTTGATTTCCTCTTCCCACTACTGCTGTCCTTCTGAGGACTAAATCTCCAGGCAGAAACTCTCTGTGCTTGACTCTCTTGTTGAAAGCTTTGGAAATCCTGCTCTTCTGGGCTGCTAGCTTGAGAGCTGCTTTTAGCCTTAATTCTGGCAGGAAGTCTAGCTCTTCCAGCATGCGCTTTTCATTTCCTTGTTGTTCATATGTTGTATTCTCAGGCTGGGAATTTTCACATCCACTAGGACGACTGCATCAGCCCCGTATGCTAAGGTGAAAGGGCTTTTATCAGTGGTCTCCTTTTCCGTGGTTCTATTCGCCCATAAGACCTCTAGGACTAAGTCCGCCCACAAGCCCTTGTATTCTTCCAGCTTCCTCTACATGGCCGTTAGGATCAGCTTGTTTGCTGCTTCTGCCTGGCAATTACTCTTGGGGTGGCATACTGAGGCACTTGCGTATTTGGTGCCCATGTCCTCTAGGTAATCCTTAATCGTTTCGCAGTCAAATTGGCACCCATGGTCAAAGACTATGCACTGCGGCACCCCGAACCTTGTGATGATGTTTTTCCATATAAACGTCCTCACTTGGGTTGCCTTTATGTACTTTGTCGGCTCAGCTTCTATCCACTTATTAAAATAATCTACCGCCACTATGAGGTACTTTCTGCATGCTGACCAAGTGGTGAATGGTCCTAATATGTCCATTCCCCACTGAGCAAACGGGATCGGGCTGAGGATTGGGGTCAGATCATTTACTGGCTAGTTTATGACTGGGGAGTACTTTTGGCACTTGTCTCATTTTTTCACATATGCCAGCGCGTCTTGAGCTTAGGTCGGCCAATATGCACTCCTTCTTAGGACTTCCACCCCTAATGCCTTTCCACCAATGTGATTGGCACATATTCCTAAGTGGGCTTCTTCCATAATGCTTTCTTGCTCCCATTCTGGGATGCACCTCAGCAGTGGCTTTAAGAAGCCTTTCTTGTTGAGCTCTCCATTCATCACCACATACCAATTGGCCTCTTTCTTCACTTTCTTCGCCTGTACTTCATCGTCGGGCATCGAGCCATGAACCTTGTATGCCAGAGTGTCTGCGAACCAGGCTCTCTATTGTCCAATGCAGTTTACCTTCTCTTTTTCAGTAACACTGCTTTCCTCCAGGACTTCAACCATCACTGTCCTTGTGAGGCTCTACAGTGTGGAGCTGGCTAACTTTGATAAAGCGTCAGCCTAGGAGTTTCCTGCTCTAGGGACCAAGTCTATCTGAAAACGAACTAGCTGGGCTGCCAGCTCTTTTACTTTGGTAACATATTTCAGCATGGCGGCTTCTCTAATCTCATACGCTCCTTGCAGTTGGCTGGCGACGAGCTGAGAATCAGTCTGCAAGTGGACTTTGCAGGCTCCAGCCGCGATGCTCATGCGGAGGCCTGCCAGCGCTGCCTCGTACTCTACCCCTCATTATTCGATGCTTTGAACTTGAACTTTATGGCGTACTCAAATACATTTCCCTCTTGGGATGTCATTATGACTCCCGCTTCGCTCCCCGTTTGGGCTGAGGATCCATCTACTTCTACTTCCACACCCCGATGTCATCCTCTTTCTCCTCATAGGAGGCTTCCACGATGAAATCTGCTAAGTCTTGTGCCTTGATGGCTGCCCTCGGTTAAACTTCGAACTCGTACTCAGAAAGTTCGATGGCCCACTTTAAGAGTCTGCCTGATGCATCCATTTTCTGTAACGCTTTATCCGGCGGGTGATTTGTGAGGATTTGTATTACGTGCGCGTCAAAGTGTGGTTTCAGCTTCCTTGCTGTTGTTACTACTGCAAAGGCAAGCTTTTCTACCAACGGGTACCTTTGCTCTGCCTCGGTCAGAACATGGCTCACGAAGTATATTGGCCTTTGCTGCTTTTGTCTCTCTACTAGCGGGACGGCTGCGATTGTCTGAATTGATGCGGAGATGTAAAACTGCAACTTTTCTCTCAGCTCCGGACTGTTTATTTTTGGGAGCTTAGTCAGATGCTCCTTAATACCCTCAAAGGCTTCCTTTTCTGCAGCCCCCCACTTAAATTCTCTACTTCCTTTTAGTAGCTGATAGAACGGCAAAGCCTTGTCTGCTGACTTGCTGATGAATCTGGTCAGCACGGCCATTCTGCCTGTCAACCGCATGATATCTTTAATGCACTTAGGTTCCGGCAGGCTTAGGACTGCTTCAACCTTTTTCTAATTTGCGTCTATTCCTCTCTTGCTAATAAGGAAACCTAAGAACTTTCCTGATCTAACTCCGAAGACACATTTCGTCGGGTTGAGTTTGATTTTGTATTTGTTCAAGGTAGCGAATGTTTCTTCTAGATCCATGATATGCCCTGCCTACGTGACACTCTTGACAATTGAGTCGTCAACATATACTTCAACATTTCTACCCTTCTGGTGTTCGAATACTCTATCCATTGTTTTCTAAAAGGTTGTCCCAGCATTCTTCAGCCCAAAGGGCATAGCTATGTAATTGTACACTGCCCCTTCGGTGATGAATGCGGTTTTCTGCCGGTCTGGTTCATGCAGGCTGATCTGGTGGTACCCTGAGAAGGGATCCATAAAGCTTAACAAAGCGAGCCCGCTGGTTGAGTCCACCAGCTGGTCAATCCGCGGCAGCGGGTAACAGTCTTTCGGGCATGCCTTGTTGAGATTTGTGAAATCAATACACATTCTCCACTAGCCATTTGCTTTTTTCACCGTGACAACGTTGGCTAACCACTCTGGGTAATCGCAAGGCTCGATGAATCCTGCCTCCAAGAGTTTCTCTACTTCCTCCTGGATTGCTTGGTTTTTCTCCGTGGAGAAGCTTCGTTTCTTCTGCTTGACTAGCTTTATATCCTCCTTCACATTCAGCTTGTGGACTATTACTGCAAGGTCAATTCCTTGCATCTCATCTGCGGAGAATGCGAAAATATCTTTGTTCCTTCTCAGCAGCTCTATGAAGTGTACCCCTACTCCAGGATCGATATCTTTCCCAATCTTCACTGTTCTTGAGGGGTCACCCTCTGTGAGCTCAACTGTGACATGCTCCCCACTGGGGAGTGGTCTTGCCATTTCTTCCTTTGCAGGATCAAAGTTTTCCATTTCTAACTTCTGCTTGTCCTTTACCCTGTGATACTCTTCGCGCTTCCTTTTTCTTGACTTCCTCTAAGCCTGCTTAGCGGGCCTCCGTTCTAAGGTTGGCTGCTGCCTTGTCTTTGCAGGCTGCTTTAGAGAAGTTATATAACATTGCTGAGCTTTCTTCTGGCTTCCCCTGAGCTTTGCTGACCGCCCTTCATCAGTTGTGTAAGCCATGGCGAGGTGGTAGGTGGATACCACTCCGCCTATCTTGTGAATGAGCGGTCTACCCATGATCACATTATAGGGCGAAGGAGAGTTTATCACAACGAATTCTGCTCGAACATCACGCCTTTTTGACCTCTCCCCTACCCGTACGGAGAGCTCGATTATACCTTCGGGATTCAATCCTGATCCATTAAACCCGGTGACTTCGTAACTCACCCTTTTCAGATCCTTCTTGTCCAACTTCAGCTCGTTGAACGCGCTGATGTATAAAATGTTGGCTGAGCTGCCTCCATCTATCAATATCCTGTCCACCTCCCATTTTGCAATTCTCATCGTCACTACCACTGGATCATCATGAGGGTAAATTATGCCTTCTTGGTCATATTCGTCAAACGTGGCTCGCGGCTGCGGAGGAAGAGGTGTCCATCTACGCTTCTCATTGTAGTTTATCTGGTGTATCATCGCCCGCAGATCGGCCCGTGCTTTGTTAACTGTTCCTCCATGCACTAGACCTCCACTGATCACATACACCCTGCCCTCTGGCTTACCAACTCTGTCTCTGTCCCCAGCGGGACCCCTATGACCCCCTCTATAGTCAGCGCGGCCTACTCTATCCTCGTCCCTCCTTCTGGGAGGATCATCGCGCTGCTTAAACTGATTTATGTACCCTCTCATGACTAGATACTCTATGTTTTCCTTCAAGTGTGTGCATTCATCGGTGGTATGGCCATAATCTCTGTGAAAGTCACACCACTTGCTCGTATCACGGTTTCTATTGACCATCCTTGGGGATCTCTACCATTTATCATCATCTTTGTTCACACTGAAGATATGACATCTTGAGTGGGTTAGCGGGGTATATTGGTCAAACCTTCCAGGTCTTGGCCCTCTCTTTAGATTTGACCTTCTTACCCCCACTTCCCTATCCGCTTCTCTGCGGCTTTGCTCTGCGCTGCTTGGCAGGTCAGCCTAGGGTGTGTTCTCTGCCCGGGTAACCTCTGCTCGCTTAGCTGAGTCAACCGGTGCTTTCCTACTCAACATGGCTCTGTCTATTTCGTCTGCCTTGATGAACTCGTGCGCTTTACCCAGCGCTTCAGCTAGTGTTTTGAGGCTCTTACACCCATGTACGCTCTGAAGGGCGAGCCTGGTAGCAAGATGCTATGCGTTGCTAGCAGCGCTACCTCTTGACTCATATTTGGAATGGTTGTTTCCTCTTTGTTGAATCTGGTGATGAACTCCCTCAGGGGCTCGTCCTTTCATTGAACTAACGACATCAGCTCAGTTGTCATCTTAGATCGATCTACCAGGGTTATAAAATGCTCCATGAACATTATTTTCAGCTGGTTATACGAGTACACTGAACATTTGGGAATGGCTCCATACCACTCCGCTGCCAGCCCCTCCAGGGTTGGCGGGAATGCTTTACACCAAACTGAGTCTGTCATAGTATAGAGTACCATGTTGTTCTCAAAAGCTGATACGTGGCTCTTAGGTGTTGTGGTTTCATTGTTTCTGCAGCTCGGCATCTTTACCTTCTCCATTAGTTCCTCCAGAATCTCCCGGCAAAATGGGGAATCATCTGGAACAACTTGGATTCGCGCTCGCTTGTCCCTCTCCAGGCTAGGTCCTCGCTCTGAGGCTGGCGACCTACTGCGGGGGACCCGCTTCTTCGGGCTGATCTGAGCCGGGGTTACTTCCTCCACGCTCCATTCTCGGTTCAGATTACGAGCTTCCAACTCCTATACCTTCTTCCTCAACTGAACGAGCTCTTTCTGCTCGGGGGTGAGGGCTGAGGGCTGAGGGCGCCGGCTTCTTTACTGCGGGCTCTGCAATTGCCGTTGCCAGTGACGGGCTCGCCCTAACCATATTGGTAAGGACCGCCGTCATTGCTGCCAGCTGCTCCTTACTGCACTTAGAGAGGTTCTACAGGATGGCTGGCATGTTTACGGGCTACGGTTTTTGGGTTCCAGGTGCTGAAATAGTGAGCTCATTGTTCACGCCTGTTAACGACATTCCGTATTTGAAAATGGAATTGGATCCTGTCGGATCGACTGGTTTCGACGCCGCTTTAGCTGCAGCTGTCGTTGATTCGTAGGGTTGGATTTCTGTGAGATGGTCGATTTGGGATTTTCGGTGGATCCTTTTGGATTGAGGGTTACTGAGGGTGTTTTTTATGGTGTTTGGTTGGTCTCATTGGCTTTGGACATGGGTGTTGGTAAAGTTTCTTCTCCGGCCATGGTGGTTAGTTAACTATTCCCTAGCTCAGTTGGTGAACCTGAGGTTAAATGATCCTTCCCCTCCTTCTAGCGCCAATTGTTCCAGGTATGGATCCAAGGGTCCTGCTGGGTGAACTGGGTCCTGTCAACAACCTACACAAGGCAGCATATGTAAACTGCCCTGGGGGTGGCTCGAGGAACCCCTCTCCGAAGCTTAAGTTAGAGAGTGTTTAAAGAGAGAAAGTGTCTAACCTCTTTTCCATTGTACTTTACCCTCTATTTATAGGCGTACCATCTTCTTCATGGAGAGATCAGCCTGGTCAGCCCTGCGGGCTGACTCCACCGAGCTAATGAGCCTTCTTTAATTGCCTTCTCGGCAGTGAGTGCGCACCCTGGGGGTGAAAGGAATGGTGTCCTTCGAACAAGTGTATTATTCTGATAGCGGGTTCAGAATTATTAGAAAGCTAATATATTCAGTAATGTCAAGTGATCGGAATGCCTGGGTGGAGGCCGCTTCCGATCAGTAATATTAATATAATCAATATTACAGCTTAATCTTGACTGAACCCTTCGCGTCACACCCAAGCAAAATATACGAACCAACTCGACGAATTAATTCGGAAGAAATTAATTAGTCGCCCGAGTGTTAAATAATTAGACGTCGGTAATTCGAGCTAGGAGCGTAGAAACCGATCGTCGGAAGTCGAGTCAAAAATAATAAAAAGACGAGACGCGCAAAATAATAATAAATCGACCATATTCCCAAAATACCCCTAGGGGCAAAAATGTCCAAGCATAGGTGTCTAGCAAGCGCACCAAGCCGAGCCTAGCATGCCTGGCTAGGTGCGTGCTAGCGCACCGTGTTAGCAGCCACGCACAACAGTAGCTAGCAGCCACGTGCACGTGGTGCGTGCAGCAGCTAGCTGCCGCAAGCTAGGCGTGCTAGCAGCGCACGCACTAGCAACCACGCACAGCAGCAAGCCCGCACCAAGTGCGTGGCTTGCGCGCACAGCAGCAGCCCGCATCTTGGTGCGGGTGCGGGGCTGGGCTCGTGGCTGGGCCATAGGGCCGGTCACTATGGGGAAGCTTGAGGAATATGGGAGCAAGTGGGTAAGGACATGTGGCACAAGGAGAGTATTGAGTGGGGAGCAAGTATGGTCCCCTACTCTCCATGAGGTCCTCACCAACCCATTTCACATGGTAATGCCACTTGTAGATTTATTATTAATTTGCAATTTTAATTTAATTTAGCTTTAAATTAATTTGTGGAATTTCATGATCCCACATTGATGGGATAGAAATTCCCACTCATACTTTCCTCTATAAATACCAACCTTGGAATTTGCAGTAAAGTGCTTGAGTAGGAGTTAGAAAGAGCATTCCATATTTTGGGAAAAACTCTTAAACTCCATTAACACTTAGGTTTTGGTCGGACCTTGCTAACTCCAAGGTAGCAGACCTAAAAAGTCGTGTTTGTCCTTTGTGGGTGGATATCGTTGGAGGCACAGCATTTGCGGTGCTCAAGGCTTTCAAGTAAGAGCCCGTTTTTAGAGGGCAAAGCTCGCTTCAAGGGTACGATTCGTTCTTCCTTTTTCTTGTGTTTATTTATTTATGCTTTATGGTTTTATTAATTACGAGTGGTTCCTTGGGTCGGGGTTGTTTCCGCGGTGAGTCGGACTCACAAAACCCCAACAGGGGGCTGGGCGATAGTTCAGCGGGAGCTATCCTATACACGAGTATTTTATGAGTTTAAGAGTTTTTGCAAATGCAATGCTCTATTGAACTCCTACTTAAGCACTCTTCCCAAAAAACCCAAGGTGGGTATTTATAGGGAAGAGTGAGAGTGGGAATTTCTATCCCAGCAATGTGGGAGCATGAAATTCCATAATTTATTTTAAAGTTCAAATAAAATAAATAAGCAAAATAATAATAAATCTACAAGTTTCATTAATACATGCAAAGGGAAGTGAGGACCACTTGGAGAGGAGGGGACCATACTTGCTCCCCACTCCTTCCTCTCCTTGTGCCACTTGTCCCCCACACTCTAAGCCTCCCTCACATGCTTCCCCAATGACCACGGCCCTAGCTACCCGGCCCAGCAAAGCCCCGTACATGCGGGCTGCTTGCTGCCAGCCAATTCGGCCAGCACGCCCACGCACACATGTGCGGGCTGGTGTTGCCGAAGGCTACTGCTAGCACGCCTCGCACATGTGCGGGCTGCTAGTTGTAGCGCACCAGCAAGCCACGCATTATGTGTGAGATGTTGACCGTAGCTTGCTAGCAAGCCTCGCACATGGTGCGGGCTGCTAGCTTGCCTAATCCCCTAGCACTCGGGGTTCTGACGCTAAGGGTATTTTGGTCATTGTTGATTAATTATTAATTTTGTCGTCACGTCTTTTTCTATTTTTGACTCGACTTCCGACGCTTGGTTGTGACGCTCTAAGCTCGAATTTCAGGCGTATAAATATTTAATACTCGGGCGACTCATTTATTTCTTCCGAATTAATTTGTCGAGTCGGTTTATAATTGCTTGGGTGTGACCCGAAGGGTTCAGTCAAGATTAAGTTGTAATATTAATTACTCCCTCCGTTTTTAAATACTTGCTCCACTTTCCATTTGCGGCCGTTTTTAAATACTTGCTCCATTTCCTTATTTGGAAAGCTTTTACAATAATTAATCAATTTCTCTCACCTAGTGGTCCCAACCTATATTCTCTCTCCTCCAATTCTCTCCACTACTTTTGCTTTCTATAATTTTTTTATTCTTCCACCAACTCCACTACCTTCATATTTTATTACTTTATCTAATTTCTCCTAAAACTCCGCGCATGAAGAAATGGAGCAAGTATTTAAAAACGGAGGGAGTATACATTAATATTACTGATCGAAAGCGGCCTCCACCTAGGCATTCCGATCACTTGACCTTACTGAATATATTAGCTTTCTAATAATTCTTATCCCACTATCAGAATAATACACTTGTTCGAAGGACACCATTCCTTTCACTGAGCGTGCACTTTCTTGCTTAGGCAAGTGAGATACCGAAGGCCTTGCACGCCTATGTAGGGTGGTCAACGGCCTAGCTTAGGTCAACCAAAAGTGACCGTAACCAACCTCCTCCACCAAATTTATCTTGACGTCCTCGTTAAAGATTAAAAAGGTATATAGCCACTCGATTGATGCTCTCATAGCACAAACACCTTCACTTAATCCAGACTTCACCCTGTTCTCATTGTTAGGAGTTTGCTAGCCACTAAGTTAACTTTGATTATACTATCCAGTATCATCTTTGGCCTATGATTTTCCCTTGATCAAAATTAGTCGTGCCTCGCACGACTTGCCTCATTAACACTAAGTTGGGCTACCCCGTAGCACCAACGTGTACTAGGCAACATCATTGGCCCTTTAAAATAAACCTTGTCCAATATTCCCTTTTTAAAGCCGGCACGGGACTCTTTGGGCTTGTTTTCATCTTCTACGAAAGCAATCTAATTGGGTTGCTCCCCCATGTAGATTCTTAAGAGATAATTCACAACTCTCCCAAAGGACACCCCTCGCTCGGATTAGCACCTGATTGAGTTAATGTGATAGTATACTCTTGCCACTTACTCATTTGGAAGTCCTCATGTGCCAAGGGATTCACATGCAAGCTCTATCACCAAGACTTTCGTTAGCCTTTGGCTAACCTCGGCTTTGTTAGTAGCAATCCTCATTGCTTCCAAATCGCCTCACAATCATTGTCAATGATTGCTGGTCCATAGACCTACTCATTTCCTAAGCAGTTTCTTACCATGGTACCTCTTCTTTGTTGGGTTCACACAACAATTCTCATCTATCCATAGCGATGGCAGCAAGGTCTTACCTTATTCCACCCAATTTGTGAACACGTTTTAAACTATCCTTCAAACTTGACCCCCCTAGTTATAGCAATGCTCCTAGATGTAAGGACTCCTTTAATTGTTCAAACTTTCATAGTCTATAACTCGAACATTCCATCTGATCATAAAAATGTTCCATGATTAGCACCCAAGTGTTAGGTCATCGTATTCAAGTCCACTTTCTTAACATCCTAAATAACGCATACATGGAGCATATATCAAAGGCAATTTGCATAGCATCAGGGATGGTGTTGCTCCCAGTAATGTTTGTTGTCACTCCACTTGTAACACCCCGTATTTTCGAACCACTATTTTATGTGCATTTTAACCAATTAAACCTAATTTCTAATTTAAATCTCAATTTCCAAATCAAATGCTAATTAAATTATTAAAATCTTTATTATTTTGATTTAAGGGTTATCCTTATCTTTTGAATTCTAATGATTTGACAAAGCGATTGAAAATTATAACTTAAAAGATTTAATATTAGTGTTTTAATCATTTTAATTGTATTTGACATGTCGGAATTGATATTAGCCTTAAAGGGTGATTCCTTAAACTTAAGCATCAATTCAGTAAGTGTTTATAAATTATATGTAATTTCAATATTTAACTTATCATAATTGATACGGGTCATCATGGGTGATTCCTTGACTGAAGTGTCAATTTGATAGGCATAAAATGATTCTATGGTTTTAAAGACGTTTTACGTTTAATCGTATTAATATCGTTGTATAAAGTGGTATTGGGTGATTCAGTCAACTTGATTATCGAATTGATATTGTTTACAAACTATTCTTTAATTTATATTTATAAAACTCATTTTAATGTACTTTTATTAATAAGGTCATTATATATTAATAATATTATTGGTTTCGCATATCGCCTCTTTATATTGCTTTTGTGTAAAAATATGAACTTTATATATATTTTTGTTTAGTGATTTAAATTATTGTTTTCATTATTATTATTGTAATTACTATTTATATTATTATTGAGTCATCAATAATATAATTTATATTAATGTTTTTTTTTTAAAATATACTTTCAAATCACCTCTCGTTACATCCCTTTCCTTATCTAGTTTCGGGTCAACTAAACTTTGTTTATGAGTCGGGTTTCACCTTAACACTTTCCTGACTAAGTAGATTTATATAGACTTGTTAATTAGCTTTCCTAATCTCATTCTTAAGCCTAAATTAATCATTCAATCAAACCCATAAGTGTAGGTTAAGTTAGGGTTTATATGAAGCTCATTTGAAGCCCATTTTCTCTCCCCTCTCACGGCAGCCTTAAGGCTGATTAATGATCAGTTTCTAAAGTCTAAAAATCCCTAATTAATCATGTAATAACACCCCCCTTTACTCCTCTTCAAGTGGCTATCCAAGACCCTTCTTCTACCTCTCTTTTGAACATACAAATCATGATGACTAAGTGTTCTTTTTGCTGCTTGCATCTCATCTGTTTCTCTCCTTATTTCCCTCAAAATTTTGGTATAATATCAAGGCTAAAACAAAGGGATTTTTGTCGGTAATCTGTTTTTGCTTTTCCTCTCAAATTCGAGCACTTAATTGTCCTCAAGAACATCAAGACAATGGGGTGAATGGAGCTTCGTTTGGGGCGTTTTGGTGGGCAACACTTGCTGCAATTTAATCTGAATTTTATGGCCTTCATTTAAGAGGTAACTATCTTTACTCCCTTAGGTTAGAACTATTGGATTTTAGAGTTGAATTTATAGGTAGAAATATGGCTAGGATTAGGTTTATTTGTAATTTTCGTTCACTATGTGGCTGCTGTAATTTGTGTAACATAGAACGTGAATTAGTGATATTTATCCTTGTTTTTGTGCCCAAACTTGATTGATACCAAATCCTTGATGTTTTATGATCTTTGTATGATGTTTTTAATGAGTTTATACATGGTTTTGAGGCACAAAATGAACCATAGGTACTGTTGAAATGTTGCACACCTGTCATGAGTTTTATTATGGTCGTGAGGCATGTTTAACCTATTTTCTTGGTCTTATTCTTGCTGTTTAATGTGTAGTAGCTTATTAGGGATAATAAGGTATAAGTTCCATGTGTTAAACTTTGATTTTGGGCATGTTTTGTACATGATTTTGGGCAAGAAAAGCTTAAATCCGCGACTAGAATTACAGCATGTTGGGCGTGTGTTTAAGATCTTAAATCTGATTTTATTGATTGATTTTCTTGCCTAATTTGATTTAGTATCATGTTAGAATATTCCCCAATTAATTTGGCATAAATCTAACATAGAGTGATTTGTTTTAATGGCCCAAAGTAAGTATAGGAGCTGCTGTAATCCATTGTGAAGGTTGTGTGATTCGAGAGTTTTTATGATATGTTTTACCTAATTTCTAATCCCAAATGCATTGTTGACATGACCTATTATGTTTTTAGAGTGTTTAGTAAAATGGGCTAAGCTTCGTTTCATGTTTAAGGTTGGATTTTGGGGTGTTTTGTGTGAGTGGTACTGTTAGAACCTAAATTGGGGCTGTTGTGTTTATGATTTATTTGGGCATGTTCTCTCTTGAATTTTAAGTCCTAAATGGTTTTATATGATGCCTATTGAGTATATGTATGTTCCATAATTTTTATTTCTCATTTAAAGTATGTTTGATTAAGTTTTTATAATGTTTTTTGGACACGTATCTTACTGCCTTGTTTTGGTTATTTCATTAAACTGTACTTTGAATTTTTGGTTTTATCAAATGAATTTACATAATCTTTATTAAAAATATATTATATTATTTGAAATTATATTTTAAATAAGTAATGTGTGAATCTTTGGGTATTGTAAATCCCTAAGGTAAAATATTTTAATGCGTGTTTGAATGTGTGTGGGTTGTAATTTTATTGTCGACGTTGTAATGCTTTAGAGAAGGATAACACTGTCTTTAGCATCACTTTGCCAAGAGTTGTGAATGCACTTAATTGTTGAATTTCGATAATTAATTATATTCCCAAACTCAGACGATACCTTTTGTGATTTATTAGTTAAAGTGTGCTTTGAAATGGAGTTTCAATTGAATTTAAGAAATATGATTTTCTTATGCTGTTTGAATTGAGTGCAAGACCATTTTTGGCTTTTATGTAGATTTCTGAATGAAATATATTATATTAAGAATTTTAAGTGATTTTTGAATTGTGTGTGGGGCCATAGTCGGGGGTGAGGCCGAGTTGCTTTCCGATGGTTAATGAACATGCTAACTATCTGGATTGCGAGTCTTAGGTAGCTCAATTTGGGTTAATTGTTGTCGGTCGGGGGTGTGTAAGACCTTATAGGCATCTACCCATGACCGGGAGTCGACTAATCTTAGACACGGTCTCTGCGAGATGACCGGGGGTTTGTCCTGACAAACCTTAGGAAGTGGATTGCGAGGCCACTAGTGTTCCTTCCATGTCAATTCTACTGTTTTGAAGGTTTTGAGTTTCAAATAATTATACTATTATATTATTACTTATTTGAAGTTTATATATTATGTTGGAATTAAGTGATTTAATATCGATATTCTTGTTTTAAGATTATTTTGAAATATTTCATTGATAGTATGGTTTGATGGTATTAAGTGATTTCATTTAAGTTTTTAAGTTGTTTGTGGTTGTGGTTTTTTTCTGTTAATTTAAGTCTAAAATCTTCTTATATAGGATAGCTCCCGCTGAACTATCGCCCAGCCCCCAGGGTGCGCACTAAATGCCGAGAAAGCAATTAAAGGAGGGCTCACTAGCCCGGCAGAGTTAGCCGGCAGGGCTGACCAGGCTGAACTCTCAACGAAGGAGATGGTACGCCTATAAATAGAGGGTAAAGTACAACAGAAAGGAGGTGAGACACTCAAGTCATTATACTTTCTACATCTTTCTAAGTACACTTTCTCTCTCTAAACACTCTTTAACTTAAGCTTCGGAGGGGGGGTTCCTCGAGCCACCCCCGAGGGCAGTTTACGTGTGCTGCCTTGTGTAGGTAGTTGACGGGACCCAGTTCGCCCAGTAGAACCCTTGGATCCACACCTGGAACAATTGGCGCTAGAAGGAGGGGGAGGATCATCTAACCTGAGGTTCACCAACTCAGCTAGGGACTAGTTAACTAACCACCATGGCCGGAGAAGAAACTGTACAGACACCCATGTCTAAAACTAATGAGACCAGCCGAACACCACAAAAAACACCCCCAGTAACCATCAATCCAAAAGGATCCACCGGAAACCCCAAATCGACCATCTCTCAGAAATCCAACCCCATCGGATCGACATCAGCTGCAGCTAAAGCGGCGTCGAAAACTAGTAGATCCGGTGGGATCCAGTTCCATTTACAAATACGGAATGTCGTTAACCGGCGCGAACAATGAGCTCATTGTTTCAGCACTTGTAACCAAGAAACCGCAGCCCGTGAATATGTCAGCCATTCTGCAGAACATCTCTAAGTGCAGTAAGGAGCAGCTGGCTGCAATGACTGCGGTCCTCACCATTATGGGTAAGGGGGCAAGTCCGTCATCGATAGCGGCAGCTGCAGAGCCCGTAGCAAAAAAGCCGGCGTCGTCGACCCTCAGAGCAGAAAGAGCTCATTCAGTTAAAGAAGAAGGTATTGGAGCTGGAAGCTCGTAACCTGAATCGAGAATGGAGCGTGGAGGAAATAACCCCTGCTCGAATCAGCCCGGAGAAGCGAGTCCCCCGCAGTAGGTCACCAGCCTCAGAGCGGGGACCCATCCCTGAGAGAGATAAACGAGCGCGAATCCAGGTTGTTCTAGATGATTCCCCATTTTGCCGGGAGATTCTGGAGGAACCAATGGAGAAAGTAAAGATGCCAAGCTGCAAATACAACGGAACCACAACACCCGAAAGCCACATATCAGCTTTTGAGAATCATATGGTACTTTACACTATGACAGACTCTGTCCGGTGTAAGGCTTTCCCGCCGACCCTGGAGGGGCTGGCAGCGGAGTGGTATGGAACCATTCCCAAATGTTCCGTATACTCGTACAACCAGTTGAAGAGAATGTTCATGGAGCATTTCATAACCCTAGTAGACCAAACCATGATGACAACCGAGCTGATGTCGTTGGTTCAAGGGAAAGATAAGCCCCTGAGGGAGTTCATCACCAGATTCAACAAGGAGGCAACAACCATCTCAAATATGAGCCTGGAGGTAGCGCTACTAGCAATGTAGAGTGGCTTACTACAAGGATCACCGTTCAGAGCGTATATGGGGCGTAAGAGCCTCAAAACACTTGTTGAAGCGCTGGGCAAAGCGCACAAGTTCATCAAAGCAGACGAGACTGGCAGAGCAAGGAAAGCACCTGGTGACTTAGTTAAGCGGGCAGAGGTCACCCGGGCAGAGAACACACCCAGGGTGGACCAGCCAAGCAGGGCTGAGCAAAACCGCAGAGAAGCGGACAGGGCAGTAGGACTGAGAAGGTCAGACCCAAAGAGAGGGCCAAGGCCTGGGAGGTTTGACCAATATACCCCATTAATTGACCCATTCCAGGTCTCATATATTCAGCGTGAATAAAGCTGATGACAAGTGGCAGAGACCCCCGAGGATGGTTAATAAGAATCGTGATACCAGCAAGTGGTGTGACTTCCAAAGGGACCATGGTTACACCACTGAAGAATGTACACACTTGAAGGACAACATAGAAGACTTAGTCAGGAGAAGGTACTTGAATAAGTTTAAGCAGCACGATGACCCTCCCTGAATGAGGGATGAGGATATAGCAGGCCGCCCTGACCACAGAGGAGGTCATAGGGGCCCAGCCGGAGACTAAGACAGAGATGGCAAGCCAGAAGGCAGGGTGTATGTGAACAACGGGGGTCCAGTACATGGGGGAACAGTTAACAGAGCGCGGGCTGACCTACGAGCGATGATACATCAAATAAATTACAATGATAAGCGTAAAATGGCCACCTCTTCCCGCGCAGCCGCGAGCCATGTTTGACGAGTATGATCAGAAGGGCATAATTTACCCTCATTATGACCCGCTAGTGGTGGCAATGAGAATCGCAAACTGGGAGGTGGATAAAATACTGATAGACAGAGGCAGCTCAGCCAACATCATATACATCAGTGCGTTCAATGAGCTGAAGTTGGACAGAAAAGACCTGAAGAGGGTGAGCTACGAAGTCACCGGGTTTAATGGATCAGGGCTTACCCCAGAAGGCATAATCGAACTCTCAGTCCAAGTAGGGGAAAGATCAAGAAGGCGTGATGTCCGGGCAGAGTTCCTCGTGATAAACTCCCCTTCACCCTACAATGTGATCATGGGAAGACCGCTCATCCACAAGATAGGCGGGGTGGTATCCACCTATCACCTTGCCATGACCTACACAACTAATGAGGGATGGTCAGCAAAGCTCAGGGGAAGTCAGAAGACAGCCCAGCAATGTTACATAATTGCCCTAAAGCAGCCCGCAAAAACCAGACAGCAGCCTGGTTCTGAGAGAAGGCCCACTGAGCAACCTAAGAGGAAGTCGAGGAAAAGGAAGCGTGAAGAATATCACAAGGAAAGGGATAAACAGAAGTTAGTAAGGGAAAACTTCGAGCCTGCAAAAGAGGAAATGGCCAGGTCACTTCCCAGTGGGGAGCATGTCACAGTCGAGCTCACAGAAGGTGACCCCTCGAGAACAGTGAAAATCATGAAAGACATTGATCCAGGAGTAGGGGTACACCTCATAGAGCTGTTGAGAAAGAACAAAGACATATTCGCATTTTCCGCAGATGAGATGCCCGGAATTGACCTAGCAGTCCTGGTACACAAGCTTAATGTGAAGGAGGATATTAAGCTAGTTAGGCGGAAAAAGCGAAGCTTCTCCACGGAGAAAAACCAAGCAATCCAGGAGGAGGTGGAGAAGCTCCTGGAGGCAGGATTCATTGAACCTTGTGACTACCCAGAGTGGTTAGCCAACGTGGTCATGGTAAAGAAAGCAAATGGCTAGTGGAGAATGTGTGTTGATTTCACAGATCTTAATAAGGCCTGCCTAAAAGACTGTTACCCGCTGCCGCGGATAGATCAGCTGGTAGACTCAACCAGCGGGCACGCCCTGCTAAGCTTCATGCACTACAAGAAAAAGAGTAATTAGCGACGGCCAAAGTAGTCGCAAATCCGTCGCAAAAATGGATTTGCAACGGATTTGCAACTACTTTGGTTCGTTGCCAAAGACCTCGTCGCAAATCCATTTTTGCGACTAATTTTTGAACAGTCGCAAATTTAGAGACGGATTTGCAATGCCTTTGCAACTACCATTTAGCGACTAACTTTCAAATTTTAGCAACTAAATTATTGTCTGTCGTAATATATTTGCGACGGATTAGCAACTACAGAGATCAATGTTTTAAGACTACTTTTGCGACGGATTAGCGACTGCAAGACCAAACTTTTTCGACTACGAGACTAAACTTTTGCGACTACGGAGACTAGTTTTATTGTCACGGATTTGCGACTATTGAGACTAATGTTTTTGCGACGGATTAGCAACTACTTATGAGACCAAACTTTTGCGACTACAAAACTAATTATTTGTGATAGATTAGCGACTACTGAGACTAATTCTTTTTCAACTAACCAATTAGTCTCTAAACCAAATTTACAGTCGCTAAATATTTGCGACTAACTATCAGTATTTAGAACCATAATTAAGCGATGACCAATATTAATCACAAAACAAAAAAGGTAACCACGCATAAATTTAAATAACCAAAATGTTAATTTTATTCAAATATCCAAAATATCATTAATTTTGTATCAATGTATTAAAAAACAATATTTAAATCATATAACTAATTGTTTCAAAAGTTACCTCCCATATAAAAAAAGCTACTTCAAATAAGAACTAATGACAATGTAAAAGACCAGTTGTTCATAAAATTACTACCAAGAAAATAAAAATCACTTAATTGTATCACGAGAGCGGGTGAGTGCGGGCGTAGGAGTCTTATAAGGATGGTAATCTTGTTTTACAAGTGTTGCCATTTCCTGCAATGTTTTTTGCATAGCTAATTTTTCCTTCTTCCATGTAGCTTTTTCGATCTCATGATTTTCGACGAATTCCTTAGTATATTTTAAGCTCTCTGACGCTATTTTTTGTCTTTCTTCTACCTTGTTATGGTTTTCTTCCGCCATCTTCTTTAGTTCTTCAACTTGAGAACTTAATTGAGAAATCATGGAAGGAGTGGAAGATGATGTAGTAGATTGAGAAGTAGGATTGCTCTTGTAATACATTTGTGAAGCACTCCCTAAAACATAGACTTTTCCTTTCTTTTTCCCACCTACAACCTCCAAGTAGACTTTTTCGGGGTTTATCTCAATTCCTTTGTTCTTATATTCTTCAAGTTTTTCCATATATTCTCCCTGCATTAAGAAATGTATTAGTAACTATGACCTCAAATGTTAAAACTTATATAAACTAAATAAATTTTAAAAAAAAAACAACTATAATAAAAATACAAGCAATGACTCGGGATATCGTCTGGGCCAAAAACTAATTTGGTCTTCTAAAACACAATTTAATTTAACTTCTTTAGAGCAGCTAATAGAGTATTACCCATTAATGATACAAGAACATGAATACAAGTACAATCAGAGTACCTAGACACATTATAAAAGGATCTGAAAATTGGATTTGAACAGGGAGACGCTGACAATCTTTTGGGAATAAGAAATAATGTAAATGAAGTTCTTAAATTAAAATCTGCAGTAATAATCAGAATCGATCAAATGTGAATGAGAAGAGTCAAAATGAAGATTGTAAGGAGGAGAATGCTTGTGTTTCTCTGCCTAAGAGTATCTCAGTCAGGGCTAATGGATTCATGAAGATGAACTAGATTGCTGCTGGTTCAACTCAGAAGGATTCGACTCCAGCTCAGTCTGTGACTCCGCTTCGATCTTCAAGAAAAGTGTATGGACCGGTATGCTTCTAAACTCGATATTTCCTTTTAAATTCTGGATTATCTGTTTCTTTAATTATAATTATGTTTTTAAGTATTATTATATTGTTTGATATTTTGTTTTAAATTCTAGATTATCTGTTTGAAGTTGATACATGTATCTTGTTGCTGCTGTGATGATGTTACTGTGTTAAAACTAGGAATTTTTGTTTTTATTGTTGTTGTTGTCGTGCCTTGTTGCAAAAGACCGCAAGTTAAATAGTTATCAGTTAATGTTACAACTTTAGATTTTGGATCAACTAAACTAAATATCAATTTAGTTTATTGCAGGATTTCACTAAGCTAAATTGCTAATTTTAGTTATAAGAAAGAATATAGTAAGTCTGGTGATTAATTAGCATGCTGAAGATCTTCATTTTGATTTCAAGACTCACCAAAAAGCTTTAATGCATAGTTTTAATTTGTTGTTGTTGGGATAAGAGTATTTCTGAAGTTCTTACTGGATTTCAATTCTGCCTCTCATTTTGTCAAGTAATTACAGGATTTCACCAACTAGGTTCATAATTTTGGTTATAAGAAAGAACATAGTAAGTCTGGTGGTTAATTGACATGCTGAAGATCTTCAGTTTGATTTTAAGACTTGCTAAAAAGCTTTAATGTGTAGTACTAGTTTGCTGTTTTTGGGATAAGAGTATTTCTGAGGCTCTTAGTCTTCTCACTGGATGTCAATTCTGCTTCTCATTTTGGCTTGGTATCATTGAGTTGTTTGGCCCGTTTATCTTCTTAGATTATCAATTGTTATCTTATACAGTCTTTCATTTTGGACATCGGATCAGTATAAAGCAGTAAAATACTTGCCTTTAGATACCATCTGATTTATGTAAAATTCTAATTCCTGCATTGTCTTATAGATCTCACGAGGATTGCAATAATTTGCTTAACTTGTTCTGTGTACAGCAAAAGGTATATGTGCGAGGAGGGAGCAACAAAAACGGACCAACTGAGCTGGAAGTTTACAATTCAAGGCATGTTCAAGACTGAGCTATGCAACAAATGGCAAGAGACTAAGACCTGCCCTTATGGTGTTCGATGAGTGTATCATATGTAATTGAGTTTGGTTACAAAATCTATTTTTGAAAAGTTAGGTGAGGGTCTAAGCAAAAGGTATTAATGGCAGTGAGGGTCAAAGCAACTGATATCAGTGGCACTATGGCAGTGAGGGTCCAAGCAGGATTGGTATTGAGCATCTAGATCTATAGGCAAGTGGATAGGTGATGATGCAGCTAAGTCAAGTGATGGAATGGTGATGGTGGTGATTTCCATATTCTAGCACAGGGTGTTTGTCGTTGGGTAGTCAAACACATTTGAGGGTGGGTGGTGGTGGTTTGGAAATTTCTGAATGTGAGGATCAGGGGTAAAAGTGTCATTTTACCTCTTAATAGATGTTCCAGATTACAAAGGTACAACTATTGGGGAATAGAGGATCAGGGGTATATTTATTATAGTTGTTTTTTTTTTTAAAATAAAAAATACAACACTTATAGCAACATAATTTATGAAAGCAGTTATTAGTAAAAATTTCGATAGAGTCTCCTTTGTAAATTGAAGAATTCCCTCCTATAGGGTATGGCTTCAAAATTATCCTGTTTCAATTCACATTATGACATACCACATTAATCATATGATTAATGCCGACAAATCATTCTCATCCTCCAACTCAATCACACAAACAAATAAACAATCTATAATATTTCCAAACATTAACTACCATATATTGTTTTTTTATAATCTTAGAAAAATATAGAAGTATACTCATACCATGACTTTTTGAGACTTGTCACCCATCAATTAAACTTCATCATTGCCCACACAAACAGAATGAGTGCTCTCATAGACTTCAATAGTAGTTGGTAAAATTCCATCCTTTTTCTTTGCCTTGTATTAGAAGAAGTTGTTAGCACTAAAAAAACAACAAAAAATAGGGGGACATAGACTACAGAGCAATTGCAATAAAGAGCAGTTATAGTCATCTCTATTAGTGGCTAGAAAGTTTCTACTTGCTTCAATCTTATATAAAAAATCATAAGTTTGCTTCTAATAAAATCATACACTTACCAATTTTTTAACCACTTGAGGAGTAGATACGCTACCTTGGCGATGGCAGGGTCAAACTTCTCTAATGTTTGGCTAGATAACCGATTATCTCTTGCTTGGTTAGAACGTTTCACAAAATCAGGATGCTTACGCTTATTTATGAATTCAGATCGAACAGTGTCAGTCATAAAACTAACTTGCTTATGGAGAGCCATTTTGTAAACTTGGTTCAATGTACCCCTAAGTCGGTCCCCGACTTTTTTTGTAAAATTCTCTCCTAGCCTTAGCATCGAACTCGAGTCTCCAAGTATATGTACGCTGCACATAATTAGAGACTCAAAGCTAATATTGAAACATGCAGCTTCACTTGTTTAAGAGAAATGAATACAAGAGAATGTCTTAAATTCTAAACATATATTGAGGCTTTGAGACATTCATGACAAATTAACATTGAAGCAATCAAGCAGGTGATAAATCTAATCCACCGCAACCCCATTCCCTTCCCCCACAAAGATCCTCTTTGACTAAAGATAGTAAATCCTGACATGAAATGTATTCTCATAGAATAAGTGAAATTGATCAGTAAATAAGAAGTTGGGAAGACTTCATTTTTCAGAAGCTTGGGGCATAAACAGACAAATTATTGACTTTACCCTAGAAAGAAATTACAAAACCACATCAAATTGTTTATATTGTTACCATTATGTGACAGAGACTTCAGTCATTTTTAATTGGTAATATAGGGCCATCTCCCTATTAGAAAAGTAAGTTCAAAGTCTGGCCAATGAAATCACTCATTAGCAGAACAAAGGAGAAACACATACACATCTTTGGTATTGAATTAGAAACGTTTTCCAATTCCATATGACACAAATATAAATGATGCACCCATGACATTTTTGAGGAAGTAAACAAAACAATACACATTATAATAACTACAAGAACTTGAATAAAATAACTCCTTGAGATATATGTCATTGAGGCAACCAAATACCCTTTTAATCACAAAGCTCCAACATGTCATAAAATATACAAGCATGTTTGAAATAGACAATGCTAATTATAATCATCAATGACATGATTAGTCTATGTGCCAGAAGTTTAATATGAAGATTTCAAGGTAAATATACAACTAAACATGATCACTTTTTACATTTCCTTTTTATCATTGTCATTTCTATCCTTAATTACAATGTAAAAATACATATATCCTTCACTTAATTATTTTTTCATTTTCTGAAAATTGTACAGAGAATTCAAACTTAACTAGACCTTGCAAACCTCAGGGCAAATGAAATCAGTCATAAAGAAATTAGTAATAATTAGGGCTTTTTGAATAATAAATCATGTTTGAATGGTTTTACAATAATTGACTTCAAAAATAACCCAAAAATTCGCAATTGGCAGCCAAACAAAATCAATTCAATCAATTCGCAATAAACCAGTTTAAATTCAATTTAATCAATTCACAACTCATTCAATTCGCAATTTAATCAATTCGAAATTTATAATCAGTTCGCAATTTGCAAACGAAACTAGACTAAAATTAAAAAAATTGGACAAAATACTCAATGATAACCCTAAATCGCAATTAGCAAATTGCAATATGAGAAAGATTGAATGGACGGTAGGAAGAGTAAGCATGTGTAACTAACCCGGGAAAAGATGGATGGCGCAACGGCGACAGATGAAGACGACGATGGTTTTCCCTTCGTTTTTTGTTTCTTTTGGTGAGGATGAAAAGTATCGAGTAGCACGAAAATAAGGAGTGATATAATTTTATGTTTTTTAGGAAGGAGTGATATAATTGTTTATTGTGTTTTTTGGCGGCAACAACTCATTATACTACGTAGTACTTGTTTCCTTACTTTTGTACTGAGGGTTTTTATATTTTCGTACCAAAAAACAATGAAAAAAAAAATAACTTATTATATATTAAGGGTTTTAATTCCTTTTTAATAAATTTGAAAAAAATAGTAGCAACTGCCATGTTAGTTGCAATATTAGTCGCAAATTTTTTAAAAAAAAAAATTTCAAATTTGTTAGCCTTAGCAACTGCAATTTAGTTGCAAAAAGTTATAAGAATGTCGCAGATTAGCGACTGCATAACAACTATTACAAAATCTGTTGCAAAATTTGCGACAACTCGTTTTTTCCAGTCGCAAAAATAATTTTTGCAACTAATTATTATGGTAGTCACAAATATTAGTTGCAAATTAGCGACCGAATAGCAACAACTGCAAAATTAGTTGCAAAATTTGTGACTGCTTGTCTTTTTAAGTCACAAAATTATTTTTACGACTAATTATTATGGCAGTCGCAAAAATCAGTTGCTAATTCCCCTTTTCTTGTAGTGATGGACGCCTTCTCAGTGTACCATCAGATCAACCTGCATGAGCCAGACAGGCAGAAAACTGGATTCATCACTGAAGGGGGAGTGTATAATTACATAGCTATGCCCTTCGGGCTGAAGAATGCTGGGGAAACTTTTCAGAAGGCGACGGATAGAGTATTCCTTCACCAGAAGGGTAGAAATGTTGAAGTATACGTTGACGACTCAATTGTTAAGAGCGTCACGCAGGCTGGACATATCATGGATCTGGAGGAAACATTTGCCACCCTGAACAAGTATAAAATCAAACTCAACCCGAAGAAATGTGTCTTTGGAGTGAGCTCGAGAAAGTTCTTGGGTTTTCTGATCAGCGAGAGAGGGATAGATGCCAATCCAGAATAGGTCGAAGCAGTCCTCAGCCTGCCTGAGCCTAAGTGTATCAAGGATATCATGCGGTTGACAGGCAAAATGGCCGCGCTGACCAGGTTCATCAGCAAGTCAGCGGATAAGGCCCTGCCGTTCTATCAGCTATTGAAAGGGAACAGAGAATTTAAGTGGGGGGCTAAAGAGAAAGAAGCCTTTGAGGGTATTAAGGAGCATCTGACTAAGCTCCCAATAATGATCAGCCCAGAGCTGAGGGAAAAGCTGCAGTTGTACATCTCTGCGTCAATACAGACAATCGCAACCGTTTTGCTGGTAGAGAGACAGAAGCAACAAAGGCCAATATTCGTGAGCCACGTGCTGACCGAGGCAGAGCAAAGGTACCCATTGGTAGAGAAGCTAGCCTTCGCAGTGGTCACAACAGCAAGGAAACTAAAGCCATTTTTTGACGTGCATGTAATAGAAGTCCTCACAAACCACCCGCTGGAGAAAGCATTACAAAAAATGGATGCATCAGGCAGACTCTTAAAATGGGAAATTGAGCTTTCTGATTACGAATTCGAGGTCAAACCTAGAGCAGCCATCAAGGCACAAGCTTTAGCAGACTTCATAGTGGAAGCTTCCTACGAGGAGAAAGAAGATGATATTGGGGTCTGGAAGGTGGAAGTGGATGGGTCTTCAGCCCAAACGGGGAGTGGAGCAGGAGTCATAATGATATCTCTAGAAGGAAACGTATTCGAGTATGCCATAAAGTTCAAGTTCAAAGCATCTAATAACGAAGCTGAGTACGAAGCGGCGCTGGCAGGCCTGTGTATGAGCCTCGTAGCCGGAGCCCGCAAAGTACACCTGCAAACTGATTCTCAGCTCGTTGCCAGCCAACTACAGGGAGCGTATGAGATAAGGAAAGCCACCATGCTGAAGTACGTAACCAAGGTAAAGGAACTGGCAGCCCAGCTAGTCCACTTCAAGATAGACTTGGTCCCCAGAGCAGGAAACTCTTAGGCCGACGCCTTGTCCAAGTTAGCTAGTTCCACCTTACAAAGCCTCACAAGGACAGTGATGGTTGAAGTGCTAGAAGAAATCAGCATTGCAGAAAAAGAGCAGGTAAACTGCATTGGAAGGCAGAGAGCCTGGTTCTCAGACATCTTGGCATACAAAGTCCACGACTCACTGCCCGATGATGAAGTACAAGCTATGAAGGTGAAGAAAGACGCCAATTGGTATGTAGTGATGAACGGGGAACTCAACAAAAAAGGCTTCTCAAAACCAATGCTGAGGTGTATTCCAGAGTGGGAGCAGGAGGGCATTATGGAAGAAGCCCACTCCGAAATATGCGCCAACCACATTGGTGGAAAAGCATTGGGAGTAGAGGTCCTCAAAAGGGGGGCATATTGGCCAATTCTCACACAAGACGCACTAGCATATGTGAAAAAATGGGACAAGTGTCAAAAGTATTCACCAGTCATAAATCAGCCAGCAAACGATCTAACTCCAATCCTCAGCCCGATCCCGTTTGCTCAGTGGGGAATGGACATATTGGGACCTTTCACCACTAGGTCAGCGGGCAGGAAGTATCTCATTGTGGCGATAGATTACTTTACAAAGTAGATAGAAGCCGAACCCACTAAGTACATAAAGGCAGCCCAAGTCAGGACATTCCTTCATATGGAAAAACATCATCACAAGATTCGGGGTGCCACAGTGCATAGTCTTTGATCACGGGTGTCAATTTGACTGTGACACCATAAAGGACTACCTGGGGGACATGGGCACCA